CCTCAGCAACGGCAAACACAGCACCGTCCACCTCCACAAGGCTGGGGACACGCAGCGAAGTGACTGAACCTCCAACCGCCTCTTTCCACTCAGCAGTTATCGGTGTCGTCCCATCAAATGGGTTAATGTCCGTCCCTGGGGCGACTCCCCACCAGCTTGACTGCCACAGCATGTCAAGAGCACAAACAGCAGCAGCAGCACCAAATAAGAAAACAAAATAGCCAGGACATCTTGGGTCATGTGTCGCTGCTCACTCACACTCTCTTCCCTCCGCGCAGTGAATCCGCTCAGGCCGCGACGGTTGCGTGTGTGTGTGTGTGTGTGTGTGTGTGTGTTGCTGGTGGTGACTGCAGAGCGTTTCAATGCGCAAAGCAACAAGTAGCGTTTGGTCTCTTCCTTCTGCGTACACGAGGTAAAGAGGGCCCACAAAACCAAAAAAGATTGACATTCAAACAGGGTGTTACAGATCGGTGAGACACACAGCAGCGTCATCCCCGCAGCCATTGTTTCCTCACCTCCCACAGCCACACAATTACAGTGATGCTGTACACAAGAGACAGAGATTGTACTGAACCCTCGTGTGGCAAGACGCCCCCATCGCAAGGGACATCAGCCCCCACGTTGCCAGCAGATAAGAGGAGCAGGCTAAAGTCCAAGGGATGAAAAAAAAAAAAACACCAACATCACCTGCCTTCGCCAAGGTCTTGTGTACAAGACCACAATGCGGCATATCATCACGTAGGTGGTACTCAAATGTCGCTGAGATTCGCAAACAACACTTCGCCCGGTCTTCCCAGTCCACACCATGAGCTTTCATTGCCCACCTTTCCCATACTGCACAAAAAAAAAGTCGCTTCACCAGCTTAAGAGCCACTGTCATCCGGTGCAGAGACAGCCGTCGCATGCGTGGAGACGATCATAGCCGCAGGTGAAAGAAGAGCTGTAATCCGATTCCGCCGCCACTTTTACTGTGTCGGACGTTGAAAACGGCAAGAAAAAGATCACGCCTGCCATGGGTGCCTTCAGCTTCCCTCGCCCACACAGAAAGCACGTGAAACACAACCACCTCGGGGCTAACCGCAAAGCCCAGGAGTTTGGAAACGAATTGCCCCTTTTCCCTTAGCTACCACGTTGTCCGGGTGTTCTGTCGGGAGAATGTCGCGTCTGGCAATTTTCCCATATGTTGCGCCTATTGGTAAGTGCGGTTTTCTCATGTCACCTTCACAACGCCACATCAAGCAGTCGTGTTATTCGCACGCCACCCCGCCTCTGTAAACGTGAGCCGCTGAGATGTTGATGACAATTGACGGTTCTTTCGGGTTCTCCGCACCTCCATCGCATCAAGAGATGGCCCGCCCGCACGGGGAACAAAGTACCTCGCCTATCACCCCTCCGCAATCAAAATAATAATAATAATAATACGCACACACTAGAGGAGAGAGTTCAGACGCTGCGGGGTTGTTGCACCCATTGTTTGCCGTGCAGTTCGCCATAATACAAATGGGCGCCTCACAACGGTCTTCGACAGCAGGGCGACAAGAACGGCAGACGCATATATGCGTCAACTTCATCGCTACCGGTAGCTGTTAATCGCAGCCAAAAGAAAAAGGGAAATAAACATATTTTTATTTAGGCCCCTCCAATGCCGCTAAAATCCTTGTTTATGTGTTGAAGGCCGCAAAACGATGATGAAAAATTTCCAGCCCAATACAAAATCTGCCGTGACGCCGCGCGCCACCACTACTTCTGCAACTGCACGAGCTATAGACACAAAGAACATGAGACTCGCACCCGTTTCAAACTCACTGGCCCA